AAAACTATCAGCACGGAATCGAAATGAATTAAAAAAAAAGTTGTAGATAGACATATTCTTGTGTTACAAAAGCGGATGTATAGTAGATTAAATTTATTTATATATATTATATTGAGTGAAAGTGATTCACTAAACATAAACGTAACATTTACGTAACTTAAATGCATCCGTAACACATAACGAGTTATTAGACAACTTATGCCCATGTGTAATATAAACATTTACTATTCAATTATTAAGGCAAAAAATTAGTTTATGACTTCAAACTTCAAAAACTGGTCCAGAAGTTTCCTGATTTAGTTGAAAGTAATTTAAATGTAACTTGGACACGTAGAAGTTACGTAAAATAAATTATTTGCCATTTGCTAATATTTGCCAATATTTTACATTGTTAAAGTATCAAAAAAAAATAAGTTTTTTATTTAGCAAAGCAAATTGTTGAAGATTTTCTGAAATTAATCAGTTTTTTTTCATTTTATTATACAAAAATTATAAAAAATATATATAAAGCAATAAATACACGTTTTTCATTAAAAATTCAATATAAGTACTTAATAAGTAATGTATATTTAAGATTTATTTTTTTAATTTATTTCTAAGTATAAATTTTAGTTTAAGATTTTAAATACGAATTTGAAATATTTAAAATTATTTTTATGTATATTAAATTAAATAATTTAAGAGTGTATATTAGAGTAAAAAGTTACAAGTACAAAATTGATGAAACGCAGACAATTTTTCAAATTTTACAATATAATCCTGGTAATTTTATCTAAAATTTGCTTGCACTTGATAAATTAGATAAAAATTGTAAAAACTTTTGCTAATACATACTTTATCTAAAAATTTTAGGCAAAAAGTTATATGTCTCTGAAAATTAACTAAAACATTTTTTCAGCAAAAAATAACACATAAAAACGTGTCACACCGGAAAAACGCTTTTTCGTTAAAAATTTAATGAACATTTTCAAATTAGTCTTGAAGAACATTTTTAAAACGTATAATTATTGTGAATTTTCATTATGTTATTATTAATATTAAATATTTAGAATTTTTGTTGAGAAATATAAAATAAAAATTGACACACATTAGAATAGGTATAACTTTAATAGACATTTTTCGGACTTTTTGATATAACTTCAAGCCCAATGATTTTAACCAAAATCTGATTAAATTTCTGATTAAAAAATACAAATTATTAATAAATTTTGGAATAAAATCAAAATTTGAAATATAAAATATTACGTATTATTTTTCTGTAAAATATGATAATTACTTAAATCATAACTAATTTATTTTAATTAAATCCGAAACAAGTACAAAGTGTTAGTTTAAAAATGTCAATTATTATTTGTATTAACTGAAAAAAATTTAATGAATATTAATTTAATACAATGCATTAAATTATAATTCTATTATCCCGCTTTTCATCTGCAAGAAAAATTATATAACCACACATTCACTCACTTACAAAATGAATAACAATTGCATTATGCAAAATGCAAATCCAACAAGCAAACAACAACAATCATATAATATATGTATATCTTTATCAATTATCATAAGTAGTAGATTTGAAAGTTACTCACTCGGATAATATCGAACAGGAAGTTACCGGATCCAGAACCACTTCCTCCTGAGCCACCGGCACTAGCTCCTGCACTAATACTGCCTCCTACACCGAAGGCAAATATCTGGGGGAAAAAAATAGATAATCAGAAATGTAATTGAATCGTCATCAAACTTCATGGACTTTTCCTAATATGTGAGTATGATACATTTTCAGTAATGTAAATTTGTTTTTTAAAAATTTTTTTTTAGAAAAAAAATGTATACTGTCTTACCTACCGCGACCGGTAGTACGAAAGACGATGTTTGGACGGCATTTTTTGTAGTAATTGTTAAGAATATTTAGAACTTACAAGAAAATGTAAATTCAGAAGAATTTAGACTGGTAAAAGCTGCCTTTTGCAAATTTATATGCATTTTTTCCAATTCTGTATGCACGCTGCGCATATGAGGCAAGGAGTATAAATATTGCACTTCTACGGTATAAAAAGTGGGTTTTCTCATTGTTGCTCAATGTCTATGTGTAGACAGATTTTTACGAAGGAATCCAAACAACAAATTGATAGGTTTTGTTCTGAATCCAAAGGTTGGTTCAACTACATTGACAGCTATCAAAATTGTTGTAAAAGACCAACGTATTACTATCAACAAACATATATTTTCAATAAATGTAAGGTGTGAATTTATACAACACATGTTCAATAGCAAACAATGATATGTCGGTGGGAATTAGGGTTTATACAAAAACCGACATTTCAGAAAACCGGTTTTCGAATTTTAATTTTACTAAAAAACCGGTTTTAACCGGTTTTGAATTTTATATAACAAATAAATTTTTGCTCGAATATTCTGTAATTTATCTGCAAATTTAGTGTAATTTGGAGTAGTATTTGACTCAATTTATTTATTGTTCAATTTTATAGATAGTAAACAAAATTATTTTAATTTTAATTAGTAGAACTAAAAAATAATAGTTTATCTTGATTAAATAACTTTGAAAATAATTATTTGTTATTCATGCATCATTTTCACATATAAGAATAAAAATATATTTATGATAGTGATAGGAAATTTTTCGAATAAATAAAAATAATACATTTTTAAATAAAAAAACATCATTAAACTAAAATAAAATAAAAAAATATTAGATACATGTTGATACGTACTTGTTAATATCAATTTTAGTTTTAAAAACAATTAAGCTAAACTAGGGTATTGTCTGTTCCGAGCAATTTTAATTAATTAATTTTAAACATTCTAATTGTTTTTTTGTTTAATAAAGTATGATTTCAAAAAACTGAGAACGTCTATCGAATTGCTTAGACGTGTTCTTTGTTTACTCACTAAATTTCCTGAAATAGAAAATACTCTCATACTTGCGACCAAATTATGCTTAATTGTTTTTAAAGCCTGATATAATAATTCTAAGTTTTTTGTTCTTTAATTTGTGGCTTCTAGGGTTTCAAATTCTTTTTTTAAGTCAGAGTAGAGGAAGTTACTTCTTCAAGAAGAAGTCACACTGACTTAAATTAATATGTACACTGGTATAAAATCTAAATTAATATAAGGTTGTCAAATATCTCCCTTCCGCCTTTTTGTATTATAAACCAAGAGCAAAAAAGCGGAAGGGAGATATTTGACAACCTAATATATACAAAACCTTTCTGGGAACCATTGCAGACTGATAAGATATCAAATGCTATTGAACCGATATGATTTCAAGAATCAAAACGCTTTCATATATCTTTTATATTTGGCTATATTTGTCATTTTCCATTTATACAGTGAAAACCGCTATAACCGCTAAACTTTATTCACTAAAACCCGGTTTTCGAATTCCATAATTTTCGCAAAAAAAAAACGGTTTTTAAAACCGGTTTTTGAAAACCGACAAATCCTAGTGAAAATAGTGTTGAGGTTGTCGTCCTTAAGTGTGTTTATTATTTTTTACCTCTTGTTACGGTTTTCGTCGTTCTGGTCATCGTCCAAAGATAAATCGTCGACAGCTGGTGAGTTTGCAGAGGCGGCTTCTTGTTGATCCTTAGGGGCATCTACTCTGGCCAAGGATATGTCACTGCTTTCACCCTGGACGTCGTTGACACTGTTGCCATCCTCGAAGGATTGGACCTGGGGTAAAAAGAAACAGGGCTGTAGACCAAAGTCTGATGGTAAAGGTTAATTTGGCATCCTTAATTCAGGAGTTGAAAGTGTTAGCAAAGACAGAATTTTGATGCAAAATGGTAGTAGTTGATGCAATGCAATGTGCACTTGAAGACATTCCAGAAAATTAGTGAACTAGTGGTGTATGGCATCGTGCCTTAAGGCAAATTGCTGGGAACTTCCCGTACCGTAATGAAATATTCGAGAAATTTTAAACGTTTTCAAATACATTATTACTTTCATTATTTTTGCTATCTGACTGAGCAAATCAAATGTAAATCATAAATGAATTATTACATTAACAATTGTCATTTCATTTCGAATTCAATTTCAAAAAATTGAAAGTTGCCTATTTTGCACAAAATTGGAAAAGTGCTCCCGCACAGTCACAGTCTAAACGCATTTGCAAATAATTCTGTGCGACATTTTCACTCACACTGTGCTTAGCTTGGCGGCATTTTCACATTTTTCAATAGTTTTTCACAAAATTCGAAAAGTGCTCCAATACATAAACAGTCTAAACGCACTTGGGTAAACATTTGTACCAGAGTGGCGCTTAGACTGTGCTTAGCCTGGGTATTTTTAGAATTTTTAATCTAAAATTACAAAAATATTTTATGGAAAATAAAAAAAGATGTAATATTTTTTTATCCTCAAAAGCAATTGTTTTGTCAATACAAGCAGAAAGTTTTTTAGATCATTCAAATAGGACGCTAAGTCCACTCAAAAACTGGCATTTTTTGCACATTTAGCTCTGTATCTTCGAAATGACGGGACCTGCCTTTGCCAAAAACTAGTCACCTCTTCTTTCAATCATTACAAATTAAATGTTTTCTAGAAGCACTTGAAGACAGTTCACAAAAATGTTGAAACAAATATTTTTTTACAAGAATATCTGGAAATTTTAATGCTTCATGGATCTTTTACCAAGTGCACATTGCATCAACAATTATGATATTAATACTATTTGTACGTTTATAACTACGTTTATATTCTATTTTATTTCTATTTATTTTATATTATTATTTACTAAAATTAGTGAAGATCTAAGTGGTTTAATGGAAATTCTAAAATTTAGATGGATGTTGCTCTAATAGTTGCAAAAGATGTAAGAACACTTAGGTGAAATATTATGTCAACATCCAAAAAAATCTTTGAAATGTTGATGATTTAGTAGTAGATTTGATGACAAATAGTTTGTGGTTGAGTAAATATATTTGTCTGGTTGATGCTAAAGTTTTTGTCTAGATAACGATAGTTAACCAAATGCAGTTTGCCAAAATACTTGATTTACCAATTTGCAGTCAAATGATTTTGGTGAATTATGTCAATTACGTGTCACACTTAAAAAATCCTGGAGATTTGTTTACAAGTATTTGTTTGGTGGATCAAAGTCGTCATGTTATTCTGGTAAATAATTTACCAATGTCAACTGTATTTTTTGGTATTCCTTGAGTTGTACAAAATTTAATAGATTACCATAAGATACTATCTCGTAGTCCAAAAATTTGTCTGTCCAATCACTTGTTCAAGTTTTTTATTATTGAATTTATCAACTAAAACTCTATTGTTGTCTAGAAAAATTGTCTTAGTCAACATTTCTGTTTGTCATCACTATTTCCACAATACTTCTGGTATCTATATGACAAATTAGATAGACAATTATCTAATCTTCTATTTTTTTTCTATTTTGTAGTCGTCATCGTCGTCATCAATAGAGTAAATTGATAGAATAGAATAGATGGTGAGTGACTTTGTTTTATGATTATGGTAGAGAAGTTGATGATTATTATTAGCATTGTTTTTTTTTGCCACTCTCGATCCTTTTTCGATTTTCAGTGACTTTTCAGTGATTGATATTGGTGATTAATAGAGGAAGAAGGGTTGGTGGTGTTGTGACGTCATGTTTTTGTCCATTTTTCGTAATGGCTTTGCTTTGGTCGAACTGTTGCTGGACTTTGTTCGGAAAATGTGGTAAATTATAAAAAAAAAACATATTAGACCTTTGATCATTCTCATCAGAGTAATTATTAGTGATTTTCAATTAAAATTCAGGGAAATTTTAAAAATTGGGGATAATTTTGACACAAATTTCTTTCAGCAAAAATGATTGATATGATTGAGATAATTAATTTTTTTTTGTTTATTTGAATTCTAGATAAAATTGACTATTAGCAAGTGTAAACTAATATTTTTTTTACTAAATTACATAATAATTTTACAAGCGTCTAAATGTGATATTTGTGCAATCCAATAAACATATTAGCAAGTTATATAAAGTATTTGCACTTTTCTTGTAATTTTTGTTGAATTATTTTTAAGAAACTCGTATAATTTTTTTTGTTCGGTTTACAAATTTTTAGATAACATTTACTATAAATTAGTGTTATATAAAACTTTCCAAAAAATTACTGGATTCTGTTAAAAGCACCTTAGCTCTGAAAATTTTTTGTTGGTATTATAAAAGTATATAAATTTTGAACATGTTTCAGTTTTTTAGCGAAATTTTTATGAATTTATTATAATCAAATTTACTTAAATGCAAATTCATATTTAACATCTAGAGCAAATTAAGAAATAACTATAAAAAAATAAATTGAAGTAAAAAGATACAATTTACTAGTTAAATAAAATTTTAGTTAAAATTCATTGTAGCTATCAAAAGTTTAAATTTAGTAAAGAAATTTAGTTTATTTTACTTAATGAAAAAAATTTCAAATAAAAATTGCCAAAAATATAAATAAAATGATAAATATTAAAAAAAAATCTTAGAATCTTAAACAGGAAATAAAACTAAGTAAAAAAGTAGCTTTAAAATTGGTACAAAACTTTTTTTAAAATACTAAAATATTTTTCAATAAAAAATTACATACGACTAATTAAATATACTATTTTTTTAGTAAATACGTAAATGAAATATAAGACGACTATTATTCAACTAGAAAACTAAAAAAGTTGTTAAAGTTTAATATTTCATATAATAAAAAAATCAAAATAAAATGTAGCAAAGAAAATTTTGTTATAAACGTAACAAGAAAAATTTATGTTTCGAAAAATAATCTTTTTGTCACATATATGTGACTTATATGGCCTTGTATCTATGGGCCATATAAGTCTTATAAGTAAGTATAAGTATATCTTAGTTTATTTCATTTTAATGTCAGATATATATGACCGACACATGTAATGTAGAATTTTTAGAGTCAGGCACACATGACTGACATAAAATAAAAAAACTCGAAAAACTGAAATAAATAAAAATGTACAAATGAACAAATGAATTAACAGCAAAAATTGATAAAAATAAAAAGAATCAGAACTAGTGGTGCGTGGCATCGTGCTTTAAGGCAAATTGCTGGAACTTTTGCACCAAAAATTAGATTTTTTAAAAAAACCTTTGAATGTTCCCAAAATCGTCGACGAAAATTTGTATCCGCACATACATCTATTTTTTCAAGTTATGCCAAAATGTTCAAAAACCTCTGAATCGTAAAGATATATAAAAAAATTATTTTTGATTTTTTAAGGAAAGTTAAAAAGAATTTTGAAACCAAATAATGAAAATAGAGAGACAAATAAAATAAAAAAGCGTATTTACATACTTATTTGACGAGAATGATCATATATATATTTCTTCAAGTTATTGTATTAGATAATACTAATGTTAGGCTTAATATTGTTTAATAGTTGTATTTTACTGCAATGAATTCAATTAGGATAATTTATTTTCTGTAATTATTAAATTTATTCCTGTATCCGTAATATTAATATAAATATAGCAACTTGTGAGAAAATGAATTTAAATCACATTGTTTTTTATAATTTTGAATCAATTTTCTATTTTTTTCGACGTAAAGACATATAGAATTTTTTTTTTTTTGATATTTTAAGGGAAGTTAAAAAGAATTTTAAAACCAAAAAGTAAAAATAAAGAGAAAAATAAAATAGAAAAGCGTATTTACATAATTATTTGACGGGAATGATCACAGATGGCAATTTGTGAGAAAATTAATTCAAATCCCAGCATGATTAAATTTCCTATAATTTTGAATAAATTTTCAAATTTTTGCGACCACATTTCCGAACGCCCTCAACAACATATCTTTCCACATGACATCTTTCCAAAAATCCAAAAATCCCTTAAAATCAAATTGCAAATATGCCAACCGCTTCCACTGCCGGACTATTGCCCAGGTTCAATCTGGTGGGCCCTTCATCATCATCATCATTATCACCATCATTTCCCTGTTTCGCCTCTGTCGTCGTCGTCGTCATCGATGACATCTCAACTTCCGTAACTGAAACCTCACTTCCTACGACCACTGAATCAATGACAGAAGATGACGAGGATGATGACACATTGTCATTGTCATCATCGTCATCGTCATCGTCGTCGCCTTCCAAATCCGGTGGGTAAGTCGGTAGAGCGACCGACACTTTTCGGCCGTTGTTGTTCGATCTGCCTTCGCCCGTCGACGGGTCGTTGGCTCCCGCTCCACCTAAGCCGCTTTGTAATAAATAACGGCCGACTACGCGGAATAATTGGCTAGATATCATCTGGATTTTTTGGTCTATCATCTAGGTAAAAGATACTGGATAAATTATTGATGATATTCAATTTAGTTTTAGGATAGAATTTATGGTCGATTGTGATGGAGAACGTGGATTTAGATATTATATTATATATAGGGTTTATATAGAAACCGACATTTCAGAAAACCGGTTTTCGAATTTTAATTTTACTAAAAAACCGGTTTTATATAGAAATTTTATATAGAAAATAAATTTTTGCTCGAATATTCTGTAATTTATTTGCAAATTTACTGTGGTTTAGAGCAGTATACGACTGAATTTATTTATTGTTCAATTTTATGGATAGTAAACAAAATTACTTTAATTTTAATTAGTAGAACTAAAAAATAATAGTTTATCTTGATTAAATAACTTTAAAAATAATTATTCGTTAT